CACCTTCACTCAGGAAAGCAAACCATGATAATAAACATGCCTCCTCAACCCATGGTCTCCTTGCCTCTTGATTTCTGTTCACTTCTTCCAGCAATGATGGAACCAGGATGGTTAACCAAGCAACCAAACTCCCCCCCGCCGCCCACAATTCTTATAGAAATTAAGATTTTGTAATGAGGAGGCAATGTGAATTTCCTCCTTAATTCTTGAGAGCTAAAGATTTATCTCACTTAAGCTGTCAATTGGCTACCTTGAGGTAATTCCTCTGTAGATAAGGGGCCCTGGCAGGGTGTGCAATTGTGGCTCTGTTTTTTATGTGTGTTGTATATATGGTACACATAAAAACCAGACAGAGCCCATGCTGACTGGGGAATTCTGGGAACTGAAGTCCACACATCTGAAAGCTGCCAAGGTTGAGAAACACTGCTGTAGGGTACGGTCAAAATTGTTAAGATGGTAGCCACAACAATGCAATCAAAGCTGTCTGGTTTTTATGTGTACCGTATATACAACACGCATAAAAAACAGGCAGAGCCACAACTGCACCCACCATCTTTTTTTATCATAGCTGTGGACATCCCTGGGCACTCGATAACTCAAATTGTGCTTCGATGGTCCCAAAGCATGAAACAGGGTTTTAGATTATTGTAATTTTTAAAAAGTGAACAAGGAGCTGGCTTGCTGCAAGCAAACTATCAACCGTTAGTTTTGCAAGACCCAGAGGCATTCTTCTTCTTTGATAACAAAATAGCTGGCTATAGTTTATTGCTCAGTTTGCAAGCATGTCCATCTCCCCAGGTTTTTTAGAAAAAATAAACTGAAATGACTGAGAACATCTACACCATGGAAAGAGAAGAGACAAGGAACAAGTTCATCGGTCTCCTTTCAAGTAACTGGGTGTTTTGTACAAGGATATCCTATGGCAGACATTTTGTGAGAGTACCCACAACCAAAACCTCAACTGTACAAACCAACTTCCAGATTTTGAAAATCCCTGCTTAAGTCATTTAACCAGCAATTGCCCAGGCATATATTCAGAGCCAACAGAATGGGGAAAACTTCTTTGTGATATTAGGTCAAGGAGAAGCCTAAACACAACTATTTTTGCTTGCTAATGGAAGGTGTACGGAGAATTACTAGAGGAAAAAGGGAAAGCTGACTTGGCCCCCTGCAGTTCCGTATCAGATTTCAAGGGGAACAAGAATGTGCTAGAATTGGAGAACCTTCACCTTCTGTTCCTCATAAAACCTGCATCCAGTTTCCAGTGACCCTTCCAAGCAGAAGAACCCTAGATTTCCCACTGACTCAATGGGAAGCTTATTGGAGGTAAACCCTCCTCCCTCTCCATTTTTGCTTTTAAAATGGGGATTCCTCTGTTTGTAATGCCCTGAAGGAACAGTGGTATTGTTGTTTTATTTGGATAGACAATAATCAAAGTCCCAGGCAGCAGAAGACTGGGTGGGTTTCCCAGTGAAAACAGCAGCAACCAAAAATGAATGAAGTGTTGAGAGTTAGGCCACCTATGCTCTTATGAATTTCTCCAATATTTTTATAATCCTCACAAAATGCCCACCTCATGGGTGTGGGCTCTTGAAATTGACTCTAGAATTAGAGTCTTCTTAGCACTTTCTGAGAGACTGCTCCATCTTCTGAACAAAATATCATTACACTCATTTTGTTTAATGTTTTTAATTAGTTCATCTCAAAATTGGCTAAAATAATTGATTTATGAACTTCTTGAATTGATACTGAATTGTTTGGATTGAAAGCCGCCTTGGAAGGTTTCCAGTCATAAAAGTTGGCTAAGAAATGCATATGATAAAATAAATGTTTTTTAAAAAGAAAACTATCATACAAAGTTATGGTAGATTTGCTCCATAATGAATACAGAAAGTTTCTTGGGAAAAAAAAGGACACACAACTTTTCAATTGCATTTCTTTTTCAAATGGAATTGACAGAACTGGTTTTATTTATTGTTTAATTGTCTCCCAAGCACAGTTAACACAGTAGCTGATGAAAATAACCCTGATTGCTATTTTTCAAAAGATATGGCTTACATCAATTTATAGGCTTTCTTTCACATCATACATTTAAGAAAAAAATCCAAATAGTAAAAGTATATGTTTGAGGGCTTGAGCAAATGAATAGTGAACAAAAACAGGACTATTAATGGATCAGTAAACTACAGAATATCTTCTTCCTTCTTCCAAATATCTTAACAGGATCTGAGCCAGTCAAATGCAGTCAATTGTACCTGTATGTTGCATTTTTAAATGTAATTTAAATTTAATTTAATTTAATTAAAATTAATAAATAAATTTAACTTTATTTAATTTGGGTTAATAACAAAAGGATAAACTGTCTCTCTAACAGAAGTTGATCTCACCCATGTTGCTGCTTTCTCTTTCCCCTTTCTCCGTTTTCATGGAAATTTCTGACAAACACACAATAACTTTAAGGAGATCAACAATTACAAAAAATATTCCCTATCACCCTCCAGTACAATGCATATTAAACACAGCCTAAAGAGAAACAGAAAGTCATTTTGTCCTGTCTCAAGAGTCTGTCAGCGGGGGACGTTGGACTTCAACCTCCATAATTCTCAGCCTCACTTTGAATTACGAGAATTGAAGTCCAGCACATCAAGGCTTGGGGAGAGAGAAGCTTGTCTTTTTAAAGGGGAATTTAAACTCATACTAACTACTACTCAGTGTATCAGGGGAAGAGAGAAGGAAAGCCATGTATATCCAAAGACCCCCAGGTGGAAGAGCTCTGGGAATCTGCTTGGAAAGAGCAATGGGGGGATTAGTTCTTGAGGACCTGCACATAGAAGATGACAGACCTGCAAGGTCCAGATAGGATCAGAGACTTATGAGACCAAGGCTGTAAAGAGTCATGGGTCTTTATTTCACCATTAGCTTTATATGCTGCTTCTCCAAGGAGCTCAAAGCAGAGTTTATCATCCCCTTCCCTCTTGCCAAATTTTATCTTTACAAGAACAACTTCAGAGAATACGTGAGCCAAAACTCTCCCAGAGAGCAGCATGTCTCAAGGGAAAGTAAGTTTCCGTACTCCTGTCTCCAACATTTAAAACACTGCATAATCGTCACTGTATTCACCCAGGTGTGGTAAAATGGCGCTTGGGTTCATACCAAACTCCAGAACAAGTATACTATACAATGTGAAACCTGATGTGTGAATTTAGCCAATGCAGTGAAGCTGGACTGCAGATGCAGACCCTTACGGTCCCACAGTGGGAAGTTTAGAGATGCATCGTTTTTCTTGCCAGCATAATAAAAAGGATAGAGGACAGGGAAATCACTATTGGGGTAAAGGGGACAGGAGTTCCAAGTTATATATAAAACCATAAGATTCCCCCAAATTCTAAGTTTTGTACAAGCTCTAACGTTTCCCTTGCATTTCTTGAACAAAATTTAGATCTGTGAACTGAATTTCCCCAGTGTGCGCATTAGACCCTATGAGCACTTTTACAATTGTCCAGGAAGGGATTTTGGCTGGATATTTCACAGACCTGAGGGTTAAGAAAAGGTGTGCCAATCAAAATATGTCTTCTGCTCCAAGATTAAAGCCACAGGATAGGGCTCAATTCACTGGAAGTGAAGTGGTATATAATCCCAACAAATGAATGAATGGGTGTCTTGCTGGTCACAAATGAGTAACAGGACGGCCTCTTCAAAGTAAAAGGAAATGTGCTTATTCCGTGTTTATCAACTTGTCTTCTGGAGCCATTTACAATCTCTTTGACATGTTGGCTATACTTCACAATGGCAAGCAACAACAAGAAGAAGTAAATAACACTAACCCATAAAATCACATTAAGGGTATTTATGGCTTTCTAGAAAACTTCCTTACAATCCAGTCATCACCATGTAATTGCTGTGGGCCAGTTGATACTCTTCGTCCACATGGATGATCTTTCTTCTGTCCAATATGCAGACTGAGACAGTGGCCACACTGCAAAAAATGACAGCCTGATAGACTTTAACAGCACTGTTATCTACTTACATCCTTTCTGGACCCCATGGGGTCAAAGTGCTTTATGCATTTCTCTAAGGTGGGGCTCCCCGACTTTCTTTTGGGGAACCGGGGAGTATCTCAGGGATTCTTCAAACCAAGGTGTTGTATTTGGAAAAGAAGTATTCGGTTTTGAGCAACATGAGGGAGGGACGCTTCCTTGCACAGCCCTGTTGAAAGAAGGAAAATGATGCTCCCCTAGCAAAGGGGGGAGTTCTCAATGAATTATGCCCGTCTTTCAGAAAAAATGATTCTGCTTACTCAAGGGTAGGTAGTCCTATGGGGGACTGGTTATTTGGACAATTTTGAGAGAATGTGGTGAGCACAGCACAAAATGGCTGCCTGCAATGGCCATGGCCACTCACAAGAACGCCTACTGACCAGAAAGTAAACTGCAGAATGATCTTCACCACTCCAGGAGAGCCTTTGTGAGCTCAAAGCCATGCCTGCAAATTAATTACTTCTGGAAGCTGGTCATTTGTTTTGCAGCATGCAGCTTCCTATTTAACGTAAATATTTCTTTATTAGGGAGCCTGGAGGACATCAAGATAGATGTCAGGGAGCAGATCGGTGATCTTAGCTGGTCCCATTCTGGTTTAGCTGGAATTTTCTTTTTTGTAGAGCCTGGTTTGTCCCAGTGCTCCTCAAAGCTAATCCAGTTAAATCTGTTCTCCATGCATCACCATAGCTGTATGCACAATATAACCAATATTGTGGGTTTATTGGATCCATTCATATTAAGCATTTTTGAGATTATCTTGCGTTCACACAACATACTGTTCAAACTCTGTCTAGATTTTTAAGGAGGGGTTAACAGAGCCATCTCTCAGGGGTGTGGTTGTGCTAGATTCCTGTACAGGTAGTTCTTGTCTCACAACTGCCTTGCACAGTGACCATTCGCAGTTACAACGGTGATGAAAAAGTAACTGTGCAACCAATCCTCACATTTATGACGTTTGCAGGTCTGTAAACCAAAGGAAAGCTGAAGGAAGATCGTAAAAGCATGATCTTTCACTTAGCGACTGCTTTGATTAATGGCCAAGTTGCCAGTGCCAATTGTGATCGCTAAATGAAGACTACCTGTACTCTACGCCTATTGCCAGTCACAATCCACTCCTGGAAAACATCTCTAATGGATCCTTGATATATCCTAACATCTGTTCTAGAAACAACTTACAGGCTTTGAACGGCAGTCTTCTCCTTGATTAGAGACAGCCAGTCCCTGAGTCACCAGGAATTCAGACCCAAGCATGAGTTTCTGTAACAAACTCTAGCACCTTTCCTTTGGGTAAGACTATCAGGGAGCCAAGACTTGGCATCATGTTCTTGTGCTTCTGTAGGAGATTCCAGTCAACCACACTGCTTGGACCTTCAGCCTTTGCTTACTTGTGCTTCAGAGAACGTTAGATGTGTTTGTGAAACAGACACAGGAGGGAGTCCCTGTATGTGTTCAGATGAGTATCAGCTGAATAGAAGTGAATGCCCAAAGCAAATTATCTTAGCTACTGTATGCTGGCACCTCAGATACAGAACAGGCTTCCTTAGCAGCTTAGATTGGCTCCATTCCTTATCTGCTTTTGAACAGGCAAGCAGAAGAATATTGTTTCAGTGTGTCTTTTCAGAAGCTGGTTGCTGCAGGTCCATTAGCATGTTCTATTTTAAGATTCTGTGTAATTTATTTTTTTCCTGTGCAGTGATTTTCTATTTTACCATAAGCTAACTTCAATAGTTCCATTACTAACATCTGCCTAGCAGCTACACCCAGCTATAGTAAGGTGCCTGATCATTCAAGAAACAGATTGTGTTCAGCTACACATATGTTGACTCCATGCAAGTATTTAGCAGAACACATATAGATGTCCCATCCCGTGTTTGCTGATGGACTTTGGCACATATCTGTGTAAACCTATGTATCTACTGCTATCCCCAACATGGCTCAATTTCTGAGTGTTACTACATAAAAACTACAAAAATAGATATACTTTATTTTTATTGTTCTGCTATTGTTTTTCTTCAGGAAGTAGACAAATATTCTGTCCATGCCATGCAAAGGAAGCCACATTTCTCCGCTGAAGAGAGTTTTCCAAAGTTTCAAAAAGTTAACAGACATTCAAATTAGGAATTTCTGTTTACTTGGTTTAACTTCCGAGAATTGTATTAAGTGGAAAAATCTGGCTTCCTTTGTCTGAGATGGATAGAAACATTGTCCAATTACCGAACAACACATTTAAGTAGGTGAAATGGTTTTACATAATGAAATAGACACTTTCTTGTCATGTAATGGCAAATCTGACTTGAAGCAAGGTGAGTTTGTGAACCTTCAGGTCCCTGAGATGTACACTGCCAAAGTCCAACAGCAAATCATGGAAAATTCAGCCTATAATTCCAATCCAATTTCAGACAAGAAATTAAAGATATAATAAGCCAAATCAGCCACCTCCCCCTCGTAACTTTTGCTTCTCCAACTTTGCATGACATCATGACCATGTTGCCCCATCACTGCAGTTTTTGGGCATGGTGGGTCTAAAAAACACACCTAGACCAAAAGGATTGTCATCCTCTGCCTTAGAAGACGGATCATACGTATCTCATGACTGCTCTGTGCACTGATTAAACTGGGCTAAACCATAACCTATGCCCTGCTCTGTGATACCCTAAAGTTCTTCAACATCCCACTATCCTCTGGAAAGTCCCACCACCCAGACTTATACACTGTCCCGAGTCTATTTCTCTCTCAACTCCAAGGCCCAAGTGAATCCAAATGCCCTGCCTGCCCATTTTTAGCTTGCCAGCTATGAAAGGAACCACCTAACACTCATTCCCCCTGTATAAAACACTCAGAATGATAGTTTCTCCAGCTTCATCATGTCTTTTCTGGACATTGTGTAGGGTCCTCAGGAAACAAAACTATGGACAAGACAGACTTTTACTATAATCTAGCCAGATAGTTGTCCAGTGGGACAACACCCCCCCCCCCGCCATTTCATCTCTTAGCAATTGCTTCAGAGACAATGCCTACTGCCAGCTGTTCTCTCAGCTGTATTACCCTCATACTGATCAGGCCAGCTTTGATTTATCTTCTCCAAGGGTGTTTTCCATCCAACAGTTTCTTAACATACATTAGAAGTTCCCTGTTGCACATACTCTTTTGCTCCAGAGAACTTCATCTACATCTACCTCATGGACTCCTGCTTTGGTCATCATGGCCTCCTGGTTGGGTATTAGTACAACATTTCATGCTTTGAAGAGGAGGATTTTTTGGTCATTAACTCCAAGATTGTACAGGAAGTAAGCTGAACATAGTCAAGCTTAATGCAGCAGTTCGAGAAGGCGATCTATGGGTAGAAGGGGAAGAGATGTGTATCCCTTCAAGCATCACTGCCCATCTTCTTCATGCCAGTGTTATCTGTGTGGAAACTAGAATGGAAACTAGAGTACAGAAACAATGTCTCTTATAGCACTTCTCTCACGAAACCTGTCAGGAATCACAACTGCTTTGCAAAACAACCCACCCAGATTTCCTATTGTTCACGTTTGGTGTCTTCCTGGACCTGAAATACTGAATCACTACAGCAATGTGCTGTGTATCTACTGTAAAACCTTTAGGTAATGTGCTTTACTCATTACAGGCTCTAGGACAGAACCCTCATTCCTGCAACACTAAGATGTGCTTCACCCAAAAGACAGCAATCCAACATGGCTGGTTAGCAAAAGATGGTAGCAGAATACCAACTCTGAAGGAAAGCAAACCTTACGAGAAATGTAAGCTCAACTATTATTGCATAATTTTCTTGAAGCATTAAAATTCTTTTACACCGAACACCTGCCCAGTTGACATATTTATCCCCACCCCCGCCCCCACCACTTTTTTTCTTCAGAATGTGGCAAAGAACCAAAAAACACCTGGATGTTTTGGTGATCTTTTCATTTCCAAAAACCATCCAATGAACCGGATCAGAGAAAGTTACAGGCATCCGTGTGAACTCTTAAAATCCCTTTGGTGTGCATGTGGATAAAGTTGAAGATCTCTGAAGGCATTGCATGGAATCCGGGCCGAGGTTTGATATTGTCGTAGTAATGATGAGTTATAAATATCCCTGAGGGGTTCATGGGGAAACCCCAGAATCCAAAAAGGTGCACTTCTTCACACAGCTCCAAGGCAGCTGTCACAAGAATCAGCCCTGTGGTGACACGCTTTGCCCGCACCCCTTGATTCAGCCAGTAGCGTGAAACGTTAATGAGATACTGGGGGTGGAAAAAATAGACAGCCTTCTTTGATTCAAAGTCATCCAGGACGTACCTGACCCGGATGGAGACATCGGTATTGTGGGTGTTATAGAAGGCAGGAAGCAACACGGAGGCATTTTCATACACTTTCAAGACATCGTAGAAAGGCTTCCTCCATTTCTCTAGCTTCTGAAACCTGGTATTATTTGTGGGGGAGCAGAAGAAGAATAAACACCAGTAACTGAGTGATCTGGGGAATAAACATGACCTTAACATTCTCTTCTGATAAAAGCATGTTACAATTAAGAGTTTTACGGTGGACCTCTTACAATCTGTGAGGCAGCACACCTCATTTAAATGTCAACCTCCCCATATGGGTGGGAGATCAAGAAAAATCAGGAGGTGCGGTTTTTGCCAAATGGTAGGGTCTTTTTTTCTTAAGATCCACCTCTGGCATCCTCCAGGCCTCTTGGGGAGGGCAGCTTTGGCTTCTGGGTCAAGTTCCAGTTCCAGACACTATAAAATCAGGAATAAACGTTAAAGAAATCTCCATACTGTTCTCCTATGCTTCAAAATATGGAGGAGGATATAAAACAGAATGGATGGAGCTATCTTAGGGTATTTCTTTGGAAGGAAGGAAAGAAAAGAGAGGGAAAGAAAGAGAGAGAGAATACAGAAGAGAACACGCGTGGGCTGAATTAGTGGAAGTCCACATACATCCTTTCAGTGCCACATATTTTCCTTGATGACAAGGAGGATCAAATGATTCTGATTTCCAGTTGCTATGAAATTACACAGTCAAGAGCCATGAACTGCCAGAGCAAATGATAAGACATGGCTCCTTCTTTCAGAAGAATTAATTTCACAGAGACACAGGAGGAAAGGGGAGCTGAGAAATAACTGACCTTTCAGTAATTATGCTGGGGTTCACCGTCACAATGTTAGTCTTTACACCAACGTCTGCAACGTATCTCTTTGATATGGGGGGCAAATTGCACCTATAGGAGAAAAAGGAGCATTGGAAAAGCTTTTCTTATGGTTTTTCTCAACTGTAACACTCTCCTCCATTTCACTGTCCAAAACAATCACCATTTTACACAGTTCTATGCCAGGAGCATGCAACCAAGCTCCATCCACAGGCCAGATGTGGACTCCAAGGCCTTTGTATTTAGATGGAGGAATCTATTGAATGTATCTGAATTTAGAAGCTGGCCAACTACAGACAACCCTGGGCCCCTTATACTTTAAACAGTAAGGAACAATAAAATAGAAAAAAGAAATCAAGTATGTCCAGAAAAAAGACGTACACCAAAAAACAACCATTAGGAGTTCAACAGCTACCCTGTCCCCAGGCCTGGAACAGCCAGGTTTTCAAGGACCATGGAGATATCACCAGGATGGGGGCCATGCATAGCAAGAATGCCAGGAAAGGTGAACTCAAGTGAATATAAGAGTGAATATAAGTGATTTCCGTTCTAATCTCCAGTCCAGAAGACCCAGAGACTGGGGGACCCCTATTTTAATGGTATAGCCTTCCACACGGAGAACTCATTTTTATTGGCAGCACAGCCTTCCCAAATCTAGATCTTCTTCATGGCTGAGAATTCTGGAAAGTGAAGACTACATATCTTGCTCAAGATGGATAAGTCTACTTGAGCAAATGTGAATGGTTCCTCTAATTCTCTTTTTCCACAGTGTTCAGTGCGCAGGTTGTCTTTGTCAAGAATGGTTACCAAGAAGAAAAGTAAATCTGGTTTTCAAAGAGATGACATCTGTGGCCACTTGTTGGCAGATCAAGGGAAGGAAAGGTAGGGAGAATTAGATTACAGTCAATTTTCCTTGGCTGAATGATGCTCTAGGAAAACTCAAGAACACCACAAGTTTAACTTATATTTTTGTTTAGTTTTAACTGAATAGGATTGGTCTGGGCCAAATATGTAAAATTATGAATCTTCTCATACAGGAGCTAAATAAAAGAGCAAGATGACATGTGCCAAAAATATACATTTGCACAAGCACCTCACAAACCAGGGTGGAAGATATAAGCTTGTTAGAATTGGTTTGACTGAAGCAGCATTTCCCTTTAACTTTTTTCTTCTTTTTTCTGATAAAGAAAGAAGTAGAAGAAACAGTAGGAAAACGTAGGAGTTTCCCAAAGAGAAAGCGGCATCTGGACTGCTGAATGAGTGAGTGAGAGAGACACAGCAGTTATATAAGGAAGGCCTAAGCAGGAGGCAGCCTTAGCATTTAGCCCGTGAGCAAGATCCACGTGGAATCTAAGATGCTGCTAAGGAGGTCCTCCTCAAAATGCCTCAATAAATTTCAGTTCAATCCCAAATCTATGCAGTGTCTATTTTTCTTAGATCGTTGAATACCTGGATTGAAATTACTGGCATTGCCCTGGGAAATTATACTTTAGGATATTTTGGATAAAATGACCACATGGTGGGCTTTGAGATTATTTCTGTCCACCTTCCTAATTTTTTTCCTTATCTCATCCCTCTGAACCCCATGATTTGATCTCTGTCTTTCTAACCCATGCCTGTGTATTCTGCAAATCTGCTTTTTTCATCCTCAGAGAAACAGCTGGAAGCTGAATTTGTAATCAAGGCAAGGCAAGACGTGCAGAAACAAAATTACAATTTATCATTAGGAATCCTTCCCTGTCACTCCTCTCCATGCAAAACACAGGCTTCTTCTTTATTTTATTTTATTTTATTTTATTTTATTTTATTTTATTTTATTTTATGGCGGAGAATTTATTTTTTGCACCCAAATAGAACATGTGCAGAGTTGCACCCCCCACTAAAATGGAAGCTCTTGATAAGATTCCCTATGATATTCTTGTCAAAAAGCTAATAAAATGTGTGCTATAAGGGTTTAATTTTGGCAGATTTTTAACTGGTTGATAGTCACAGTTACGAACTGGAAAAAACTGCAGAGTTGTATTTTGGAGCTGGTGTTACTTGGAAGATGAGGCAGAGAGTTTATGAAATTTGCAAGTGATCCTCAGCTAGAAGGCACAGCTAATACCTTAAAAGACACAAACAAGATTCAAAATACAGGATGGAAAAATAGCCCAATGCTTTTCAAGAAATAATATTCAGGGGAAAAAGATCTGGTACTGAAATGCAGAAGTATCTGGGACATCTAGTAGATCACAAGTGAAATATGAGCCAGCAATGCAGTATCTTCGGTAAAACTATTGATACAATTTCAAGCTGCATAATATTCACATTGCAAGAAGTGATGCTACCATTCTTTTCCTCTTGATCAGACTTTGTCTGCAGTCCTCAGTTAAAGAAGGACCAAGAAATTGGAACACATCCAGAGGAAGACAACTAAGATGGTAAGTAGGAGGAAAGCTGAATATATTTCTTCTGGAGATGAGATGATTAAGAGGCAATATGCTTGCCTTCTTCAACATTTATCACACTGATGATAGAGTAAAATTGTTTTCTTTCACTCTGGAAGGGTCAATCTCAGAGTTAGTTGTTCTACAATGGGACAAATCACCTTGGAGGGTGAGAAGTTTTCCTTTGTTAGGGCTTTATAAGCAGATGATTTCTCTGCTGTTATCTGCTGTAGGATTACTACAGTAAAGATGTCCTTCCTGGGAAAAATATTTGAAGGTCTCTCACCCTACATTACCATGGATCACTCTATAATATCATGCCACAACTTCCATTGTGCAAAATTTGCATAATGGTGATTCATCCCAATGGGCCACAGTGGAGAAAGGCATGGCACACAGTTGCCTCAACTGACTCACTGATTCGTCCCACTGTCTTGATATGAAGCATAAAAACCTGAACTTGCTTGCTTTGCTGGTTTGCTTATTATCCCCTTTGTTCTTTTAGAAAGGAAGACGTCCGTCAAGTCAAATGAATCCTAGGGATTTCATGAATGCATCCATGAAGGTTTTTTGGCAGCAGTACAAAAATGTTTCCCACTGGTTCCTGCCAGGATGTTTTTTTCAAATTCCCAGTCTAGGAACAGTCCTGGGGTTTCCTTGTGATTCCTAACCCAAATATTAACTAGGTCTCAACCATCTTAGCTTTTGGAAGATCAGTCACTTTCTGCCACCTGAGTAGGGCAAAAGGTAAATCTCTGTTGAACCAAACTCAACATCTGGTAACTTATGGAAACATCATTGCGGTTTTCTTGGCAATATACAGAAGTGGTTGGCCATTGCCTTCTTCTCATTCTAGCTCTCATCCCTGGGTTTTTTTGATGATCTACATTCAAGTACTAACCAGGTCTGATTATGTTTAGCATTTTTAAAAACAATAAACGGTGGCTAGTAGCTAATATCTGCTACCTGGTGATTATATGGACTCTCCCCAGTATCTCCTGGTCATCTTGCATCAAAGCACTAACTAAGTCTAACCCTACTTAGCATTTCCAGATCAGCCTTGGTTGGCTTGGTGCTGCCATCTACCTGAGCGGGTTCCTTGGTATTATAGCTGTTACCTAATAGGAACTGCATAGTTTCAATCTTTGTGAAAGATTTAAAAATGCAGGTCATTATTTGGTACTCATAAATTGTCAGCCCTTGGAACAGAAATCCACTTATTGCTGAAGCAAAATCTGTACTTCAGAAACAAAATCCTGTGGATATGCCCCTCAATGCAACACCAAGAGATTTTTTTTAAACAAAATACAACTCAGTAGAGAATTGTGAGAGATATTTACTAAATAAGGTCTTCAGGAGGACTGACAGTTGCTCTGGATCCTATATATGGGAGAGGAACACATACAAAGTATGGTTCAATGCATGAAATGATCACATGATCAGTACCATTCATCCAAGTCAGTAAATTCATCAGTTCACATATATAATCCCCAAAATTATTTTAGTATTTGGGGATTCCTTGAACACTTTTGTTTATTGGCCATTGATCTCAATAGAACAAAGCCAATGAATACAAAAATAAATTGATTTGGATAGAAGGAGAAAGAAGGATATAGAGGGAGAGGATTAAATTAACATTCTGTCCCAGCTTCTCAGACCCTGCTGAGATTCATGGCTTCATAATGCTGACCCCATAGTCAACCATAACATCAATCCAGCTAAACAAATAATGTCCCTCTGGCCCAGTTTGGCCATTTTTATCATCTTGGAGAAAATAAGGGAAATTTTCTTTCTCCTTTAGGCTACAGCTTCAAACATCATCTAGTGAAAAGGACCTGAAATGGATCCAAAGATCAGTTTTTTGTTAAGTCAGCAAGCTCAGAAAAGAATGATTTCCTGTCCTTTTTTCTTTAATTCTGTCTTAAATCCCTACATTAGCAATCTTGGAAGAATTTTGGGCTCTTTTTGAGATGTAAAGCTAATGATAGGTTAAAAAAAAAATTAAAAGCTGTTGTATACATTTTATATTTTATTAATCCCAATGGTTCTTCAGTTATTAATTCTTTATCAAGGGGCTAAAGGCAGAAGAGCAGAAAAACAATAAATATTAAAATGTATGAGTTTTTTAAATGGTTATTATGGTAGAGATCATAAACTGTTTACTGCTGTTTTTTCTGCTCTTTTACCTTTAATCAATTAATCAATTGATTAATCAATTGATTGATTGATTGATCAATTCATCAATTTGCAGGTGTAAATTTTTGCACCATTTAAATAGTCAAAACCATGGATATAAGCAAGCAAACTCCCACTACTGTGCATTATCTCTTGCTTTGTTAAAATTCTGATCGCATCTGACGTTAAAGAGCCCTAATCCTTACAGTTTCATTTCCAGCTACTTCTGACGGTGTAAAAGCTCAGTGAACGAAGTGTGAAAAAACCTGAAAAATTGCCCATACATACATTAGCAGCAACGGCGACACGGTCCGTGTACATAAAAACGCAAAGGAGATAATGCTGGGCAATTACCGGAACACAAAATCGGCACTGTCGATCTCACCGCCGCACTGGCTGTTCTTCAGAATCCCTCCATTTCCAACCACTGCACATTTCTTAAACTGGGAACGATAGTAGGGCATCTCCTGGAGCAAAGTGGAGAAAACGGAGAATAGGAGCAGTTCTTGGCAAAGATCTACACATTTACCGTGGGTGAAATGAGGACAGGGGGGACCCTGTACAGTTACAAAGGTTGGGCAGCACTCCGTGCAGAGGGGAGCAGAAGGACACCTGCCCGCAAACCCTTAAAGCAGGTGCCCCTTTTGGGGAGAGGATGTGGGTGTTCTCCATAGCCTGAGAGGCTAGCCTCAGAGCATGCAAACTGTAATTTATAATGAATCACCCATCTTAAAGCTGCCAAGGTTGAGAAACACTGCTTTACAGCAAGGCCTGGTTGAGTGGAAAAATTCTGTCCTTGTTCTGTGTGGATACAGAACATCTGCCAGTGTTGCGAGCCAATTCTTTGAAGCTTCAAATTGGATGAAAGCGTAGATGTACTCTCTCAAAGTGGAAGCAGCATGTCCATTTTTGGTTAGCTGCATCTAACGTCAGTGAGGTGGACTGGCGTCTATGTATTGTTTTAGGAGGTTTGATATATTTGATGTATTTTCTTTGGCCCCGTTCTTTGCTGAAATTTTATTGGAAGCCACCATGGGGTGGCTCTGCCGGGAGCATGCCAGGTAGAAATGCACATCAAAATATAATATAATATAATATAATATAATATAATATAATATAATATAATATAATATAATATAATATAATATAAAATATTAAATAAAATAAAATATTAAATAATTAAAATTAAAATAAATAAAATAAAACAAAATAAACATCAGCTACATCTTTTCTGGAGAATCTCGTAGGTGCACTCTGCAGCTGACCCCCAATCTTGGGAAAAGCTGTGGCTACTTAAGATGTTGCAGGCAGGTGTTGCATCAGTGCTCCTGCACACCCCAAAGCCTTTGTGAGATTGAATCCAAAGTACCTGAAAGACCTTTTGGTTCTGTCCTTTAAATTCCTAATGTAGCCTGCCACAACCCGAGGCCTGCCACACGTGTTATACTACGATACCTATCATTCATCCTATATCTAATCCCAACTCCAGCCAAGTTGAGGAAAGATAACTTTTGAGCCATGCCACCCCTTCTGTGGAATGCCCTCCCAGACTCTTATAGTCATTCTGACCCCTTATCTTTTCAGGCTCTTTAGCAAAACAGTTCACAGCAACTACTGATTTTATTACGACCTGACTTGCTGCCGCGTTTTTCACCAATTCTGCGATTCACGTAATATCCTGAAATGTAACATAACATAACCAAGTGGAAAGCCGCAAGAAACTAACCAAGGTTAAAACTAACTGAGTCCTGAGGAGACCACAAGACAGCGGTCTCTGGGGGGTTTAGAGCTCTTGAAGATGAGGGAATAGTCATCTTGCTCAAACCACAGATGGTGCCTTCAAAAGGACCCTGGGTTGGCACACTTCCTTTTCTAATTACATTCAGAAATTGCTTGTTAACTGCCTCTCAGCTATTAGGAACCTATGGATCGACAAGTCCGAAAACACCAGGTGAGTTTCCTTCAATCCTTAGCGAAATAAGATTTAAATACAAGTTTAAGGATTTTTTAAAAATGATTTTAAAAAAATTCTTAATGTAATTCAGAGCATTGTGTGAGTACAGCCACTGCTCAAGGAACTAAGGTTGGAATGTAGAAATAAAAAACATAATGAACAACCAGTATGAAACCAGCTCAGATTGCACACATCCAAATACGCCTATCTAGAATTTTTGACTATTAAGGCATTGTGATCTGTCATGTCAATAAAGATTTTATGCTTATGTCTATTAGGAATATGCATTCAGACACAAGTGTCCGATACAAAGCATGATGACGCTAACATTATGAATGTCATGACATCATCATGCAAGTGACTCAAAGGTCATAATTTGTGTCATTTGTGCAGTGATGTCATGATTCATGTGACATCACTTACCCCTTGGCTCCCCCCATGGACACTCAAGGGGATTCCCATATTTTAAATCTATCATTTGGTAGATACCTGGATGTCCTTTACATATTCAGAAAGGGAATTTCAAAATATTTTCATTTCCACTTGTGTTTTATTAAGTGCTTATTAAAGGCTGTGATCAATCAACTTCTACTGCCCAACTGTAGAAGGCATTTTATAAATCATTTATTAAATATAACAAAACGAAGCCTCTCCAACTAGAAGGAAGAGATGTCAAGTTTACAGCGCTAAGATTTAATCTCTGTTGTATCCAATGTCACACTCCTGGAAAAAACATTGCCTGTGACCTTGGGAGACCGCTGATGGTATCAGATTAGGAAGGACCAATCTTTTGACTAAGGGGAGATAGAGAATGGCTGGCATCTTGCAGATACAGAGAGACCCTACAAAAGTACTATTAATGCACGCATAGTTTATCAGTAATTTTGCAACAGAAAAACAAATGTGATTTGAAAAAAATAATTCAAGCATGCATTGTGCAGTACTCATAAAGGAAAATAAACAGTCCTCTGGAGCTCTGAGGTCAACCTAGCAGATCTTTTGCAGGCAAGTAACAGATGACAGAGTTAACATGTATCATATTTCTGGACAGTCCACTGCTCTCCAAGAGCTGGAGAAATGAACTTGCCTCTCTATTCACTGAATTAACCATGGGGCAAAGAGATCAGTGAATCTTCTGCCACATGCCCAACTGCAAATAAGCTTTATAAAAGAAGCTTTCCCCCAGATAGAAGAAGTCTAGAACCTAAGATGCCAATTGGCAGAGAAAGCCTGAGAATTGAATACTGGAATCTGGGAAATGGTTGGAGTTAATCTAGCTCACAGAGTTTGGGAAACGGCCAAGGCAAAACTCTAAATAACCCCAAAACTAACAATAGCAAAGGGGTGAAAGACAGCACAGAGTAGTTCTTGAGAAGACAACAGATGGATTAATAAAGCCCTGATTTGAGCAATCCACTGTGTCCTAAATAAATCACAATAAGCTGGAAGCACATAAGCTGGAATCACACAACACACTACACCAAAACAGAAGAAATCCCATTATCGTGTGATGTAGAGTCTGAACTCAACCAGTAAGTTAGTGGATCAAATCTCACTTCAGCTGCAAACTGATTAGATGGCCTTACTTAAATTATGTTGATTAGCCATTTTCCGCATGGATAGGATAGCTCTCTGATGTGCCATGCTAAATATAAATTATGCTGCCGTTCTCTCAATATGCAGCAATGAGATGGCAGGTGGCAGAATAATCAGGGCAGCTACGAAGGAAATCACCACAATACAGAGAGTAAGCGTAATTTATTTATTTATTTCAGACATTATCTCACTTTTCATTTCTGCTACAACATTCAGGCTGCCACGCCTGGAAAGTCCAGGCAGTTTCTTTGCATCCAACTGCTCACTGGTATCAGACCTACTCAGGGGGAATTATTTTTAAGTCAATGTAGGTACCACACCTTTGGAAACATTCTGAATACTTCATTGTTGATATGGAAGATGCGGCTGGTATCTACTTCGTATTTCAGCTCTGTTCCCAGGGGCGTGTTCTTTTGGGTTGTGAAGAGGAAAGCTGGTGCATTGCAGCACCTGGACAAAGTAGACCTAGATGAAGGAGCAGGAAGAACACACGTGAATTTACTGCAGTTGGGTCAAACATAAACCACAATCAAGTGCAACCAGCTAGTGTAGCAGGGATACTGAGACAGACAAACACAGGATTCCTGTTCCAGCCAGATAATCTGTCAACAGCCCTGAGCTTCTGTAGGGATGAAGGAAGTCCCCTCCTTCAGTAGATCAGGACTGCTAGGACCATGGCCGTAGCTCAGTGGTGTTTGCAGAAGGCCCAAGGTTTAATCCCCAGATTTCAAAGTTGGAATGTGGAAGACTGTGTCTGAGATCATCCAGAACAGATGTCTGACACAAGGTAAGCCAGTTTCCTCCTATCTGGTATCTGTCAGATGTACTAGGACTCCAACTCCCAGAATTCCAAACCAGCCTACTGTATTTCAATCCCAACACATCTAGAAAGTGCTATGCTGGAGGAGACAATGCTCAGATAGAACCATAATCTGATTCAATGGCTTGGTCCTGTGATAAAGCATGGTTTGCTGAATACATTACTATTGGCTGGGTCACTGTTCTTATCTGTTCTGACTGGTTTTTGGTAAAATACAGCCAGGCAGATTTGCTCACAGTAGCAGGCCTGGAAAGAGATAATTTATTCTTCCTGGAGCTGAATCACTTCCTCAAGCAGATGCTTGCTCCATGAAAGAAAAACAATAAACCTGCAATCAACCTTTTCCCCAGAGTTGCTACTATGGCTGAAGTGATAGCCCCCTTCACTGCAAAATCCAGTTATCCATTTCCAATGTCAGGATATACTTGGTGCTGGGGATTTGATGAAGTTCACTGAAATCTCTTAGCCCCAAGTTGACCCCATCTTACTTGAAGAAGTTGGCTTCGGTGATATTCATCTCCCATTTGCATATCTGAAGATTCTTCCACCTTTCAAACAGTTCTGTCTGCTTCGTTCTAAAACAGATAGGAAGAAATGGTCATCTTAGAGCTGATTTCCAAAAGCAGCAGAGTCTACATCCCAACCTTGATAACAACAGTACCACTTTGTCCTGATCAAGGAAGAATCACATGAGAACAAGTCTAGCTTCCATCTGATGTTCTCCTCTGCCTGATAGCAAACGGGCAGCCCATTCCACACACGGAGCTTTTCAAAAGTGTGCAGATTTTGCACACTTAAATACAATACTTATTTTCTACCATATGGACTGCTATGCTTTACAAACAGAAAGCAGCCAACTTTTCATTGGCCAATGAACTGAGCCTCAAGAGGCAATCAAAGGACTTTTCTTGGACAGAAAGTTAAATAGCAGGTGCATCCATCAAGGAGACTCTGAGTCTCTGTGTCTTCACTAATCTATTCTCTCAAAAGCATGAGACTTGAGCCAGACTTCACTCCTGTAAGAGAACCTTCGCTGAGACATGTCCTCCAGTGATCCTTTGCACCCTCCTCATCCATCAAAGTGGAAGCTATTTCGTCATCTGAAGGAAACAGTCTTCTGCTGCACTAACTCACAGAAAATTTGGAAAGGCTGCGCATTTCTAAATCACCTACAGATGGTCTCTAAGCTTGCTAGAATCCACAGTATTCAAGCAATTGAATTATTTATTCAATTTGAACTGTTATTAAACAATTATTAGATTAGAGCAAACTGACAAATTTTATTTTATTTTATTTTATTCTGTCTGTCTGTCTGTCTATCTATCTATCTATCTATCATCTACATATCAAACAAAACAAAATTTTTATTTGTCTCCTTTTTTAAAATACTTCCTAGGTTTTTCTTTCACCTTTTTCTTTTTTTTTTCCCTTCTGTTTTTATTTTAAGTAGTTTAGTATAAGGTAGGATTTTTCTCTTCTTTTCTTAAGCACATACTGTATCATACAATACATACTTTTTTCTTCTAAAGTCTACAGTCTTTTATATAATCGTAATATAATTAGAAACCCATGTTGTTTACATATAAGATTACATAACAATATATAATACCTTCCAAGAAGTGTGTTAACATTTTTAAGATTAATAAACTGTTAAAAAAAAAAAGAATATAACAAACTGCCATTATTCACGGCAGGCACAGTTAGGGTACACAGAGTAAGGAAAATGAACTTGAGGGGGATGTGCAGGACCGTTTACCTAGGCAAAAGTGGCTGAAACATTTTTAAGTCCAGGTAACATTCAGAGTGGTTCAGACAGATACCTCCTAATTCACTGAACCAAAAGGAGGAGGAGAATCAGCACAATCAGACCTGCAAGATTCTGTTATTATAGTCGATTTCAATAAAAGTAGTTTTAGCCTTCCAGTGAAGTTGATTTCATGGTCTGGTCTACCTAGTGGGACTGACACAGGGTGGAAGAGTTGTGTAAGTCAACTTTCTTGTTTCAAAATAGAAAGAACACCCCAAATCCTATAGGAATCCCTTTTTTCCCCTCACAAAAGGTCACACCAGATTAGACTGTTTTATCCAAGTTTGGATAAAAGTTTTCTGGATGAAATCTGGCATGCCCTCAGCTCAGAATTGCCTAGGACAGAAAAAATGAACAGGTTCTACTTACAGCGAGAGAACCTTCAACTCCATTATTTCCCGCCTTAGATCCAGGCATTTTGTAGAGTTGTACTCCAAAGGGCCGTCATAAAATTCAAAGTACCTAAGGAAGAACAAACAAAAACAAAACAAAAAAATGTGAGCCCTTTTGGACATTATCTTCTCCCAACTTGGTGCACCTTTCAAATACGTTTGTCTGCCAATCCCATAAATCCCAGTCATCTGACCGGGGTTTGTGGAGCGTATCATCTCAATGTAATGGGGAAGCTAACGAGGAAACAGACCCACACAAATGGAGCAGCTTTGTTCCCATGTGCTCTTCCTTTGGTTACCGGATTAACCCATTTTCTGAGTTCACAGAATAACACGTCACCATAAGCACTAACCATATTGGATGGATTTGCACCACAGCTTAGCAAGAACACTACCCAAGTTCAGCCTGCCATGGAAAGCCAACTATGAGGTCTTGTGTGTTATATGAACAAAGCCATGCTTTTATAACCACCTGAATAATCTGGGCACAGATAACCAAAGTCTATTTGCTCCTAGACAGACTGGGGAAATCTTGCCTAGAAGAATCTGTTTTGGGGATTTTTCTTTGCATATTCCTCCTGCCGGTGCAACCATCTACAGCTTGTACGGTCTGGCATTCAAATAGCTAATTTTCCAGTTTAACCCGCTGTTCTTTCAAGCCACAGGATAAATCTGACCAGCCCAGCAGCCAAGGCATTTTACAAAATGAATACTGGAAAATATCTTTCTAAGAAGAGCTATTGACACAAGGGAAATAATAACTGAGAGACCCAGTCAGTGATGGATAAGCAAGTGTACAAAGAGAATACAGTGTGTATTACCCCATGAGACTTTCTTTAGCTTGCTGTCTTCAATTTACATTTCTCTTTTGTCTGTGTGTTCCTTATTAAACAAACAAAATTGCAGAAGTGCTAATGAATGGATGGTGCAAACCAAACAAAAATATACACATCAAATTCATCTGTGCATTGGACAAAGACTGACAAGCCATAGAATGGACAGTAACAACTGTACAGTTATACCATTGTACAATTCTAACTGATATACAATTAAAATTCAAAGGAGAGAATGCCTGAAATGCATGTCATTAACAAAGCAACTCCAGAAAATTCAGCCAAATACCCTGAAGTCTGTCCTCCATGCGGCTCTATTGGCAAAAACAGGACTTGACCCAGGTAATCATGATCCCCACATTTTTTTTTTATATTCAGTGAAAAAAAAATACAGGTATATTTATTTCTTCATAAATATCCATATTCTACTATACTACATATCATGTACATCATAAAACATGCTCCAAACTATATTATATTTTGTATATTCTGTATATTGTAGAGAGGCCTTTGATTGTATTGAACACATTGGGCTATGGTATGTGCTCAGAAAAACGGGTATCCCAGAACATCTCATTGTCCTCATGAGAAGCTCATATTCAGGTCAGGAAGCCACAGACTGGACAGAACATGCCAAAACAGACTGGCTACCGGTTGGCAAAGGAGTGGGACAAGGTTGTATCCATTTCCCCTTACTTATTCAATGTACATGCTGAATATATACTAAGGGAAGCTGGGTTGGAAGAAGATGAGCATGGTTTTAAAATTGAAGGTAGAAACATCAATAACCTGCACTATGCTGATGACACTACCCTGATAGCTGAAAATGCAAAGGATCTGCAAGCCCTACTGCTAAAAGTCAAAGAGCACAGTGAAAAACAGGACTAAAATTAAATATAAAGAAGAGCAAACTAATGAACAACATGATAAATGAACCTTCAAAGATGATGCCCATTCCACACTTGGGCCCTCTCAAAATACCAGACTGGAAAATTCCAGCTCGCATTTTGATAATCTGTTGCCCAGCAGGCAAGAGAAACTCCAAGAGTGAGAGTGAAAAAGCGGAGCTGGTGGCCCATTTTATATAAAATTTCCTGGCCTGTTTTCTCTTTATTTCCCATTTATCCAAATAAACAGGATTTTAAAAAAAGAACCCCTGCCCTCAACAAGAAGAAAGCACACAAAACAAGAATGGCACAAATCCATCCAGCACTTCATAAATAATTTTCTAAAAGACTTATAAAGAACCTTCACATGAACTGAGTAATCAAAATGCTCAGAAGGAGCCCAACATCTAAGCCAGGTTTCCGGTGAGAGAGGCATTCCTTGGAAAGACAAGGGGGGCAGGTGAGATCACATGGGCACGATGTCATTGCACAAATCATATCAATGGAGATTCTACCAGACACCTATGTCTAGAGAGTGATAACCGTCTTTCAAAAAGTTTGATGACTACCAGTGGCCAGCTGAGGTACATTATCAAGTCTGTTCTCCTGCCAGCCTGCTTCTTGGCCAGTCGATCTGACCTGTGGAGCTCAGCCCTCTGTTGTTGCATCGTTAAAGCATATCTCTGCTTGGGACTGGTTGGGTGAATCTCAGAGTGTAGGTAGGGAGTCCTGGAGGCTTGCTGCATCTGCCTCAACCAGAATGGAGTCATTGGCTTCAACCCTGCTGGAATCACCCCCTCCAGGACTATTATCCCTAGAAGCCCCTGGCTCTACTTCCTCCTCCTCCTTCTCCTCCTCCTCCTAAGACAAGTCCAGCAGGGCCATAACAGCCACTGAGATTGGTATCTCTTGGTCTCACACATACACACTCTCTCTGTCATCAATGGGCACAGCAACAAATGTCCAATTTAGGGAAGGCATTCTTTTCCCCTTTTGCAGTGAGAGCAAGAAGTCTGCTATCTTACTAGATCAAAATTATACATCAGAACTGCATGGTATTAGATATTTTATCTCCCATTCCCCCAACTCAGGAGCATCCATGTTCTCCAGAACATAATTTCACTCTCCTTCCTCCTTTAGCTCTCTCCTCCAGTCCAGGGTTTTCACCCTAGGGTCCAGGAAGGACTTGAATGGGTTCTGCAGGCCTCTCTCTGCAAGGAACTAAGAGACAACTATCCACAAGAGATCCCTCGGGGAGAAGGATTTTTCTCCCTCTTAGTCACTAAGGTACAGCAGAAAAGCCATCTGACATTGAGAAACCCCACTCCTCTCGGTCAGAGGTTCCAGGAATGATTTTTAATGAACAGGTTCTGCAACTTGAAAAATGTTGAAAGCCCCTGTTCTAGTCAATATGGTTTACCACTGATTAATTATACCTCAATCTTTGGGTCACAAGATAATCTATGCTTCACCCACCCCTTTGCCCCATACCAGGTGCATCTGTGGGAAGAGGATCAGCAAAGTCAATGTGATTGAAGACCCATCCCTCTTTTACATGTGTTGTGTCTGTGGAGAATTCTGAACTTAGGACTAGCACAAGTCCTGGTGGTCAGATCTGTTAACTCTGCAGGGCTGGGAGTCCTCTTGAAGTAGACTTTCTCTCTAACAGTCCCTCTCTATTTATGCTATGATGTGGCTACTTCTTCTGCAATTGATTGGTTTAGCAGATGGGCCAAGAGGCTGTTCTTCAGCGGTGAACCTATGTATTTGCTGTCCCCAGCAACTGCACGTTTTGACTCTGTGAATGCCCCATGATGTAATTACGTGCTGTTGAAGACTTCTAAAGCAGAATAAATAGCATGGAAGGGGCTATGAGGACAGACCTCCATTCCATCCCGCTGAATCAACCTACTTCATCAATGCATGATTGGCAGCAATGTGGCCACTGGACACAACAGTTCCTTTATCATCAGTGGCCCAAGTTCCACGACTCTCATCCCCCAAATGCTTTCTATGGTGGCTTTGCTCATACAAAGGGCATCTGGCAGCGTCAAAACAATTTTGGCTAATGGGATCATCCATCTATGCTACCTACATCTCCTAAAGAAAAAGTAACATACAAATACATACATATAATAACCCCTTCATGGATCACTGCCTTGTCGTGGCGAAGGGGCTTGCGTAACTCAGTGA